TAAGAGAATATGGGACGGAGCTAGAAGTACATATATACGACTTAGATGCAAGTTGGAAAATATTAACGACTGAGTAATAAATAAAAAAACAATCATATAAGCCGAATGGAAACAAATAGTGTAATAAAGACGGTGAGGAACGGTTCCCCAATAGGAAGACCTCGAAAATAATGGAACCACAACTTATTGCAGGCACATTGAACAACAGACAGAGTCATGTCTACATAAAAAGGAAGAAGAAGATGTTTTTAAAATCAAGGTTTGGCATAAAGTTCGAAATACGCACGCTAAGTTATGTAGACAAAGATTATTATGCCGGTATAATAAAATTTTTTATAAAATCATTTAAAATGATTAGCACATTAATAATAATTTAACCTATTATATTGCACATATTTTTTTCTCAATGCTGGGTTTATAATTTTCATTTTTGTTCGTTTAATATATTGCTTAAGTTTCTTTTCTTAAAAGAAAGTAATAAATAAAGCTCATAACATTGTGTGTTTTTTCATCGAGTAGAGTGCTATAAGATGTCATATTTCAAGAGCTAATTTCTTGTAAAACTTACAGATCTTACCTATCTTTAGTTCCCCTTGGGATATAAGTATATAGCAGTTTTTGCGGCGGTGCAATATATTTTCGTAATAAATCGTTGCAATATGTAACAATATTATCGATAATTTTTATATTTAAATTAAAAGAAAAATTATAAAAAACTCATACGACAATGTATACAGTTGGAACAGCTAAGTAAGTGTAATAAATTCGATAATAAATTAATGGGGGTGTATTCAAAAAAAAAGTCTAGACACGTTCATTAATATTTTTAGTTGCGGATAGTTTGCAATAAAATTTCATGTAACAGTGGCCAATATTACCTTTCTTATTTTAAATATAACATACTATAATATATTATTCAATTTTTAGATTTCCCAAAATATTTTAGATATATCTCATGTACAATATCATATAGATTCTACCTATCTTTCACCGTTTTGAAAATATTAATTTAGATTTACGCTTTACTGTTTATTTCTTGATAATGTAAAAAAACAATATTTTTAACATATCCTCATAAGAAGAAATGGCGTCAGATAAGAAGATCGTGCTGGCCACGTCATCGATCCTCTATTCCTTATCCACCGATTGTAAATATTCGGTTCAGGTACTGCAGAACAATGATTTAGTTAGGGGGGAAGTGCTCCATCTTGTTAAAAGTATATGATATTCGCTGGAACTTGTGGGATTTCTGGATCAAGTTATAAGCTTTCTCAAAGCTGGTATGACATTATTTTTAAAAAATGCTAAATAATCATCGCCATTCCAAGTAACATCAATGAAACAGCGTCCTATGATATATGATCCTACTATTTCTGCCATATATTAACCTTTGCAGAGTATTGTATAACATAATATTCTCTCATCCATTGAAATTTTCTCCTATACAAATACCGTCAATTTTGATTAGCATGCCTCTAAACCGTAAAGGTACACTGATCAAAAACCAAAACATCTTTTAATTGGATTACATTGTTATACTAACATTGCCATCATTTGTTCACAAAAATACGTTCTCCTAGTAAAGTCGTCTTTCATGAGTTCCAGGGTTGGTATCATTTTATAGGGGTGCATTTTATTTTATTTTATTGTTTCAATAATCGATGAATGGCTAATTCAAACATTGCGGCTATTTTTTGACTAGAAATATGTGGGTTTTCCTCAGAATCAAGCACAATATCCAAAAATTGCACTGCCAGCTGTTTTTTTGTCAATATTTTATGAAATACGCGAGCAACATCCATTTGTGTTCGTGTTTTAAATAAACCATTGTTTTGATATGCAATTAACAAAATTCAAACAACTGTAATGTTCAAACCACTGACAACTACTGCCATGGTGACAGAAATCAATTTGCTAAGATCGAGCGTTTAAGACTAAAATAAACAAAACTATTATAAAAAAAAGTGATGTAGTAGCTAATACTGTAGACTATCAAGAAGATTTTTACTGTTTTCTATACTTTTTTAATTTTAAATAATATTTTTAAAATTGAATTTGAAGAATTTAAAATTGATCGTTAAAATAGTGATTATAATCTAGAAGCTGAAGTGTGTACATAAAATCTGTTTTATATTATTGAAAACACTTTTGTGTTCTGCTATACGTTTGTTAAAGGTTCGATTAGTTTGACCTGTTAAGTTTTTGGGCAGTCACCACATGTAACTTACATACACCACTGTGTAAGTGCTTTTTATTTTGTTTATTTTGGCTTTTGTTCTTCTTCTTCTTACGGTGCCTTATCCTTAAGGACGTTGGCCATTACATTTGCCCATTTAATCTTATTTGTAGCAGCCCTGAATAGTTCTATGGAGGTCATGTTCGTCCATTGCCGTAGGTTTTTAAGCAAGAATTGCGTCTTCTTCCTGGTCCTCTTTTGCTATTGACATTGCCTTCGATTAAAAGTTGGAGCAGTTCATACTTTTAATTTCTTATGATGTGACCAAAATATTGTGTTTTCCGTTCTTTTATTATAAGCATAAGCTCTCTTTCCTTATTCATCCTCCGCATAACTTCCGCATTTGTCTTATGGCTCATGTAGGATATTCTGAGCATTTTACGGTAACACCAGAGTTCGAATGCTTGGATTCTTTTTGTGTTGCTTCTGTCATTTTGCATGCTTCAACACCATAAAGCAAGGTGGAGAAAACATAGCACTTAAGTATTCTAGTTCTTATTAAGATGTCCAGCTGGCGGTTGCATAGAAGTTTTTGCATTTTGTAGAACATTGTACGTGCCTTTTCCAGGCTTATTCTTATCTCTAGTGAGTGGTCCCAAGTTTGTATATGTTGTTATGTAAGTATATGTTGTTATGATATGTAAAATTGAAAATAATATTGGTTTGCTTTTAATATATTTCAAAGTACAAAATAAAAGATATTTCGAAGAAATGAAAGTCCATTATCCTGGATTACCTGTAGTAAACAAAATTTAAAGATATGCATAAATTATTTTCTTTGTAAAATATATTCGAGTGACGTGAGTGAGCTTAGTGAAATCGTGAACAATGCGAGCGGGTTTTCCAAATAGATTTGTACGTCGATATACAGTGAATAAGACAATAGAATAGAAATATTTAGAAAATATAATTCTCCGTTAGTTCTTAAGAATTTGTAGAAACCGATTAGCATGTTAATAGTTTTTAGGAAATTTATAATTGTAGGTAAAATTGTTGTTTGTTATCTAAATGGTAGATGGGATAAGTGTGACGAACTTGATGGAGGAGATTGAAAAAAGTGGGATAGGTATGTAGGAATGAGAGTTTAGCTAGATTTTTGAGGGAGAAAAGATAATCAGTTGTTTTCCAAGGGTGCAAGGCGAACAGTCGTTGTTCTCTGGTGGTTCCCCAGAGGTAGTAAGCAGTAGAAGTGAATGTTTGTGAGTTTTCGTGGAGTAAGTGTATCTGACAGAAGCTGATCCAGTAAAATATTGTAAGTTATATTTTTCTACTTATATTCCAAGAGTCACTGTTCAGGCCAGAACGAGAGATTCAGTTTATCGAGAGGAGAAGAGGCTAGCATCATTTGAACGATACGTGCATTTGAAGGAGATCATTAAAGACGATAGGCTCGCAACAATTTGTTGTAAGATTGCTGATTACCTAGGGGACTGCTAAGAATAGATAGTGTAGGCTACAAGGAACAAGGATTTGGACAACTCATCATCAGAGAGATAGTTTTACTATTCGTCAGTTTTTCTTTATTAACAACACATTTTTTTAACAATTGCTTTAGAAAAGATAGGAATATTTTGATCAGGAGATTTAGAACAACAATTTTGATTTGAAATTTTAATTTATATTGTATATACCATTAATTTTTGAAGGTTCACGTACGTAGAACAAAATTTTGATAATCATTATATGAGATATTTTTTATTGAAGATATTTGAGTGTGAATTTTATTTCAATATATAATGTTGTATCATATATGTTTTTTATTATTCCGGTATTCTTTGGACCTTACCTATCATATGTAAAGCATAGATATTGAAGCACGAGTATAACCCTGAGATAAGAAAATTAAATAGTGTGATATAATCATAATTGCATCATTTAAATAAGATTAATTAATTAATTAATTAGCTAATTAATTGCTTGCGCACCTCAGACTTTTAATATCATATTAATACATATATATATATATATATATATATATATATATATATATATATATATATATATATATATATATATATATATCTGTGGTGTTTGGGAGAAACATGATAACTCCAAAATAGCGAAAATTTTGTTAAGTCCTGCACTGCGTCTTGTTTTTGATCTATTTTCGTTTGATCTGACTATGGTATGTTTATCACGTCTAGAAAATGAGCCACGGCTTGGTATAATATTGATAAGTCCCTATTATTCAAATTTTGTTTGGTATAGTCCTGTTTAAATATTATATCATGTACCCGAAAACAAAACTAACCAATAACGTTTTGGTTCATATCTGATAATTGGTACTTATCATGTCTAGATCAAATAATATGCACATTCGTTTGGTAAAACATTTTGGTCTATATGTGATAATTGGTACTTATCATAGTTATATCAAATAATATGCAAATTATTTCGGTAATTTTATGCTATGTCCCACTTAACATCTTTGATTCAAATAAATATTATATTTAAGTGGCATTTTCTGTAAGTTTTTTTATGTAAGTGGCAAATAATATGAATATATCAAACTTTTCTTTTCGTTGTTTTGTACTTATCATAATTATTCATGAGCATTTGGTCGTATTCACGAACGTGTCGATTGCATTGTGTTAGTGTTAAGGTCTATCGATGACTAGTTAGTTACACTTAGTCAGTAAGTCAGTATTAAAGTCAGTTTGTCTAAATCTTTCGAATGACGCAGTAAATATGATCGAGTAATTTGGTAAACATGGCTTATAATACAAGTTTTCGTATACAAAAATAATTGAGATATGTTTATTAGAAAATGAACAGTCGTCTTCTAATAATGTAAGTATTAAGTGTGATAGTGTAGAACTGACTGATGTTGAATCAGCTTCATATCCAGGCCCCTCTGGAAGTAAAGAAAGCAATTTGCACGTTTTAAAACCAGCACTATCTTCACCAGTAAATCTTAAAGAAAATACTCATCTGCTGAATGTATTAGCTTCTGAAGTAACTTCTAGTGATAATTTGAGTTCTGGATCTAGCAATTTGTGAGAACCATCAGATTCTGAACGTGAACATGGAAAAGCTGATTCCGAAGACCATCAAAACAAGTTAGATGATCACTTTCCTTTGGCTCAAATAAGTATAAAAAAAGGAAGAAAGGGCCAGGGTCCAATGCAACAGAAATTTAGAAAAGGTCGTTCTGATAAAAAAGAAAAGGTGAGGAATACATTATTGCTAAAGGTAAGAGCATTTCAGCTCAAGTTTCAATACCCGTGTTCACAAACTTTTAAGCAAAATGTCACGAAAAGACTGCCTCTGTTGATCTAAAGCAAATTTTTGGAGACTACAGAAACTTGTCAACTATGGATACACAGAAACGTTATTTGGCTAGTTTAATAACAGTAAAACCTAAAGAAAGAACACGGCGTGGTAACTCAGTCAAAAATAGGTAATTTACAGTTCTTTATAAGTTGGAGAATATGGATGGTAATATCTGTAAATGTTGCTTTTTGAAAGTATTTGGCGAAACCAGAGGTTTCTTAGATGACGTTGTTAAAAAAAAAGAAAGCATCTTCTACTTCTATCTAAGTTTAAGAAGCCATCTAATGACACTTGCAAAACCTGTGATTTATTGTTTCTGAAGATAAAAAGCTGTGCCTCCGAAGAAGAAAAACAAAGATTAGAAAATGAAAGCCAACAATACCAGAATAATGCCTCCTTTCATTATACAACAAAACAAGGCGACAAAGAAGAAAGTATGCGGAGCTTAGACAAGCTTGTAGTAGTTGCATTTGATTTGCAGAAGTATTTGGCTACACCTAATTTGACATCTAGTGTGGCTTTCTATTAAAGAAAGTTATGAACTTTTAATTTGACGATCCGCAATATCACCACAAAACGGACATCATGTTATATGTGGCATGAAAGTGTAGCTCAACGAGGAGCTGATGAGATCGCATCTTGCTTATTTCAGTTTATTAGAGACTTGCCAGAACAGGTAGAAAAAGTAGTCCTTTATTCTGATACGTGCCCCAGTCAAAACCGAAATAATATATTACCGATTATGTTTTTAAAAGCACTTGAAGGAAAGGAAACTCTAAAAGAAATTCATCATAAGTTCCTAGTTCCTGATCATACTCATTTAGAATGTGATACAGATCATGCTACCTTAAAGAGATTTGTGAAAAAAGAAACGCCACAATTTCAGTTCCACAGGACTGGGTATCAGTAATTAAAATGACGAGCCCTCGTTTTGAAGTAAAATTTATGAAACAAACTGACTTTTTCAGATTTTCCAAACTTCTAACAACGCATTTTATAAAAAGAAATGTTGATAAAGATAAAAATTCTTTTGTTTGGAACAGCGTATTTTGGCTACATTACAAAAAGGATAGTTATATAGGCTTCAAATACACATTAGATCCCAACGAACCGTTTCGTTCAATGTCCATGCTAAGAAGAGGCAGGTCAACTTCTATGTCTAATATTCAGATACTTCCAGCTTATAGTGATCATCTACCCATAGATTATTTGAAATATAAAGATATTCTCAACCTACTACCCTTTAGAAGAACCTCTTCTTATAATATCACTAACAGATTCGAAATAAAATATTAGTGTATCTCACCATGTAAGTTATCGTTAACAAAATATGGTCCTACTAGATAGTTATCGGCGATATTTTTCCACAGATTTAGCAACCGGCTAGTTTGATCATGTGTGTTGTATGGATTACTGGTTGAATGGTAATGAAAGTTATGCCTATTAACGAAACCGTTTTGTAGCTTTATTGCTACATTCCATTATCAAAGTAACTTAAATTTTTTATTTCAAAAGATTTTTTAATTGTTTAAAAGTATCTTGTTTACATTATTGCCTACCAGAAAACCGTTCTTGATAAATTCTAACTGATAATAATGCATTGTTTCTGCATTTCCCCAATATTCAGATCATATTATCAACCATTTCATCAGTAGTAAAATTCATTAGTGCTGAAATGTAATTGCAAAAAATATGAAATAATATGTATTTTCAAGTGATTTTTATTTCTGACATTTATAGTCTGACCAATGTTTTTACTGGTAAGTGTAGAATTGCTAATGATAAATATCTGGCAGTAAAATAAAATGAAAATTTATGTTTGTCCTATTTTCGTTATTAATAAAAATATCATTACAGCCTAATCATCAACGAAATATAATATAATTATGAATTGAAACGTAAAACAGTGAAATGAACAGAACTTGGTGTATTGCCAAGGAGAAACAGCAATATAACCATAAACTTTTATTTACTATAAAAGCTTACAAACTCCTTTAAATATTTTTATGTTTAATCGTTTTATATTATCCCATAGTATCCATCTCGTAACTGTATTGCTGGATGCATATTTCATACATCTGCTATTATTTTGTAATATTTGCGAACTCTCTAAGAAGCAACTGAAGTTACCCCTATTAAAATTGTAATCAATATTAACATGAGCCTTAGAACGTGTAATAGATTATTTTATTTGCTTTCAATTGCTAGGTATAATTGTCCAAGTTCAGCTCACGGTGACATCCTATTTATTTCTACAAATAATTATGTCTCTCCTATAACAAATCATGACTTTTTGTTAAATGAATTATTTTTTGAATTTTCATTAATTTATAACAAGAATCTTAATCTGTACATTGTTTGCATTTATAGATCACCTGATTCTTTCACGGAACTATTTTTTAGAACCCGTTAAATATGTTTGATGACCTAACCAATAAAAGTAGAAAGATTCTATGCGGTGACTTAAATAATAACTTTGATAATATACAAGGCAAATATCGAGCACAGTATTAATTTAATCTTGCCCAAGTACTTATGACAAGAGTGGAATGTCATAAACATAAAATGGGACATAACAATACACTTCACAAGGACAAACAAACACTTTAAAATTTCGAGGACAGGCTAAGCTACATGGTATATAGAAGCCGGACACAGAATCTGTCAAAGAAGTAGAAGCAGAAGCTACGTCAAAAATCACGGGATTTTAACTCTTCCCTTTTTATATATTCTAAAAACTGTTTGCTTAATTCGTAAACACCCACTTGTTTTTGATTGTCTGATTGTTAGGATAGTCCTGTAAACAGTAATGCAGATTCACCTCTTCACTTTCTCTGCAACGTTGTTGTCAGACGTACCTAGAGATCCTAAGTGTGTAAACTGTTATTTAACTGAAGTTCTTTTCGGTTTTTTTTTCGCAAAAATAAATATTGTTACTTTTTGCTCCCATACAGTCTTCGTAGACACACTGTCTCAAGACTAGCAACTTCAACGTGGATTCATGTGTCGCCATGTTACCTAATCCAACGGTAACTTTAACATCTTAAACCATTATAAGAAAATATGTAAACTAAATGTAATTAATTATTTGTTAACGGGTTTTTACCCATATATTTAGTGGCTACATTCATGTACTCTTAGACACTGATGATGGAATATGGATTCCGAAAACGTTTTGTCTTTTTAACTTAGCCCGTTTGGGTTCTAAATATATACCTTTTACAAAGGATTTTTAATAAATATTTTAATAAATGGTATGCAGCCAACTAGAAGAACGTAGACTCCTTGTAGATATTTAACTTTAGTTGAGTTATATTTTTTAGTCATTTTGGTTTGCTTTTCATTTAACCAAAAACTTTAAAATGTCAAGAGTTCCCAGTCGTTGAAGCTAATCCAGATCCACAATCCAAAGGTGGTTCAGTGATGACACTTAACGGTGTTGTGAAGCGTCCTGGAATATTGCCAGGCCGTGATTTGCACCATCTTAGACTTCTTGCTGTCAGAAACAGACAAGAAAATATTTATCAAGTAAGATACGATTTAGTTGCAGCTACTGGAAGGGTACTCTCAAAAAGAATAGTTATTCAAACATTACTTTTAATGGAACTGAGAGCATACCGTCCACTTTTGGTATTACCTTTGACACCACAGAATAAGTATCGACGCTAAGGGGGGAGCAGAGCTCATCAAAACTGAAATAGTCAATGAAATTTTGTCTACTTTATTGATGAATGTAGGTTTTCTTTGGATGTTTTTGATAAGCGCATAGGATTAAGACGTTTTCGATGTAAGGACGAAATATATGAATCTAAAAATGAATAAATGTGTTTTATTTTAAATTCATGTAATACATTTTTATAGAATAGAATAGAACAGAATAGAATAGAATAGAATAGAATAGAATAGAATAGAATAGAATAGAATAGAATAGAATAGAATAGAATAGAATAGAATAGAATAGAATAGAATAGAATAGAATAGAATAGAATAGAATAGAATAGAATAGAATAGAATAGAATAGAATAGAATAGAATAGAATAGAATAGAATAGAATAGAATAGAATAGAATAGAATAGAATAGAATAGAATAGAATAGATAGAATAGAATAGAATAGAATAGAATAGAATAGAATAGAATAGAATAGAATAGAATAGAATAGAATAGAATAGAAAGAATAGAATAGAATAGAATAGAATAGAATAGAATAGATAGAATAGAATAGAATAGAATAGAATAGAATAGAATAGAATAGAATAGAATAGAATAGAATAGAAAGAATAGAATAGAATAGAATAGAATAGAATAGAATAGAATAGAATAGAATAGAATAGAATAGAATAGAATAGATAGAATAGAATAGAATAGAATAGAATAGAATAGAATAGAATAGAATAGAATAGAATAGAATAGAATAGAATAGAATAGAATAGAATAGAATAGAATAGAATAGAATAGAATAGAATAGAATAGAATAGAATAGAATAGAATAGAATAGAATAGAATAGAATGAATAGAATAGAATAGAATAGAATAGAATAGAATAGAATAGAATAGAATAGAATAGAATAGAATAGAATAGAATAGAATAGAATAGAATAGAATAGAATAGAATAGAATAGAATAGAATAGAATAGAATAGAATAGAATAGAATAGAATAGAATAGAATAGAATAGAATAGAATAGAATAGAATAGAATAGAATAGAATAGAATAGAATAGAATAGAA